CGACCAAATCGGCCCGGGGGCCCGGCCCCCGCCCCCAAGGAACCGGCCCCCCGACCCCCGTTAACCGGCCTCCTCCCACTCGCCTCCGACCGGCCCCCTACCCCTTCTGGGCCCTGGCCCCGCCTCGGTGCATCCAGGGCCCCCAAGCCTCCCTGGGCCGATTGCCTCGCGTGGCCGCGTACCCAGCCCGAAGTTGACCAAGTCTGGTCTGCACTGGCTTTGCCTACTGCTCAGCTTGCCGGGCTCCAAGCCTCGAGCTCCGGCCTGCGCCCAGAACCCTGGAGCGCAGCCTCGGCTCCTGCTCGCCACCTCGTCACCGCTCGCTAGCCCGTCTGTGCCCTACCGACCGCACCTTTGAATAGGTAGTCGTACTCGTCGTCCCGGGTCCCCATTGTCCTGGCGCTTCCGGCGGGATCAGCGACTCCGCAGCCCCACCACAAACACCCTACGGGGGCGGAGCCGGCGCCGCGCAGAGCGGCGGCTGGATGGCCAATCAGCGGTAGGTGGCGTAGCGACCGGCACCCAGAGCAGCCAATAAGAGGCGGAAGCAGAGCCTCCGAGGCGGGCGCCGCCGCAGATCCACCTTCTTCACCCTCGGTCTCCTGGAGAAAGGCGGAAGGAATGCGGACCTTTCTGAAGTGACGGCCGCTCCAGCCTATCAGAGGCGGGATCAGGAAGGCGGGGCGGAAGACTGGAAGAATGAAACGGATTGACGGAGCGGATAGCCAATGAGAGGTTAGACTCAGACAGTACCGGACGACTAGAGGACCTGTCCGGGAAGGGAAATGGGGCTACATCCAGGTAATGTTACGCTATTTAACGTCCCGGTGACGTTATAGGTCAATGCGCGCTGCTCTGCGGGACGCTCCCCCCACCCTCGCTGCCCCTGTAAATGACCGTTTCCGGGGGGCATCTGCGTGGGGACACTTTTTCCGCTTAGAGGTTTTCTCTCCTCTTTCTGTTGCAGATTCCATCCCTACACTGGTGACATTACCATACCCTTCTGCCTCGGTTTCCTTCCTCTGTATAATAAGGAAGAAACTCACCTTACAGAATCTTTGGGGTATAACTAGATCGTTTACCTAAACACATATTAACTCAATCATCCACTGCCTGTTATTAAGTCTTTGTTTGGCAAATATTTATAAATCCTTACTGGGTGTCAGGCTGTCTCCCAACAGGATCTTCCTTTCTCTGTCCCATTATTCTGTTTTATTCCACCCCCTCCCAGGATTTATCACTATTTGACATTAAAGTATGTATTTCATTTTCCATCCTGTTGAAAAACAAAATTCAGCTGAGTAAATCTGAAGCGCTAATTGCCTTTATTAAAAGATTCATGAATCAAGCAGCATCTCGTCTGTGAAGCAGAGATACTCCCCGGAGGTTGTACAAAATGGAAGGCTTTTCTAGAAAGGAGAGTGGGACAAGAAAGTTATCAATAATTGAAAAATGAAAGTTTATTTGGAGGAAAGTAAGAGTTCAGATGAGGCCAACTTCTTATTGGCTGAGCTGCCATGTTTCCATTGGCTGAGCTTGTTCCTGGGCAGGAAGAAAATCTTTTCTCCTGCTATAGTAAAGCAGTTGCAGTTTCTGCTTGGTAGTGCAGGGTACATCTCTTTTGGTTGGAGTGTGTAATTGACATCCTCCTATTTGGAGAATTGAGCACGGTAGGGCATGAGAGCTCCCTCTGTTAAGTTTTCCTGACTCCTAATTTTAGTTGAGGTTCCTTTTATTAATATTCACAATTCATTAATTATTTAGTTTCTGTCCCCCACCAACAGAACATCAGCTGGGTGAGGACAGGGGCTGTGTCTATGGCAGTCACTGCTATGTCCCCAGTGCTCAGTAAATGTTTCATTAGTGATTAATATAAATGTAGACCTGTACTAATTCTAATTGTATGTAATGATTGTTATCCCCTGGACCTCAACCCTGGGATGTCCACCAGGCATCCCAGACACAAATGTGTCCTCTTTCGCCATAGCCACTCCTCCTGTGACTCCATCCCCCACTCCCATCATCAGAGCCAGAGGTCATGGACTCCTCTCTCCTTCTTATCCTTTACTTCCTTGCCCCCCTCTCCCACCCCTCCCTCAATTGTCTTATTCTGTCCCTTCTCCCTTCTAAATTTCTGAGCACTTGTCACTCCCTTCACTGGCCACTCACTAGACTTGTACAGTTGCCTACTCCCAGAGCTCCCTGCTCTGCCCTCACCCCACAGTCAGTTCTTCCCACAGCAGTCAGAGGGAGTCTTTTAAAACATAAGTCTGATTGTCTCCGCTGTTTAAAAATCTTTCATTCCTTCCTTTAATGAGCGTTTACTGAGCTCTTACCGTGGGCCAGGCAGGGCTCTCGGCTGGGGAGGCAAAGTTGAACAAGACAGAGTCCTAGCCCTCATGGAGCTGACAGTCTAGTGGGGAAAGGCAGGTGAGAAGCAGGTAAACAACAACACATTGAGGAGGATAACCTGGGCTGTGTGACGGTGGATCTACTTAGCTAGTGTCAGCTGAAAGAAAAAAAGCAGACCTAAACGTTGAGAATAAAAATTCGGTGGACATCTCTGAGGACTTAAGTCCGGGATACAGCCTCTCAGATCGCTCTGAGGGACTGCTCCGAAGAGGCAGGGGAGGAACCAGGATGTATAGGAGTTTTTGCAACAAAGACCAGGTAGTTGGAACATCAAATGATTACTGTTAATTCGACATCTCAGTTTAAGGAATTTAGTGCTTTTCTACGTATGGAAAGATGCAAGAGTCTGTGCTCATTGAAATCATTCCTTTGAAATGCACCTTAGCTATCCAGGGCCAATATCCTGTTCTTTCCAATCCTGAGTCCCCTCGGTGCAGCACTGGTGGGGGGGGGGTGGCAGAGGCTGTGCTGCCTGCTCCTGCCATCCTGAGTTCCCTCTGGCTTGCTGTCACTGTCGGGGGATAGTGGTAGTAGCTGAAGGCTTGGTGACCGCAGCATCCTTTGCTTACTGATACTTATTTTTCATGCACATTAGGGAGGCAGGGAAGGCATGCTGGAGGAGGGAGCATTTGGACTGAGTCTGCAGAAGCAGGAAGAAGTAGTGGGAACAGCATGTCAAGCAGACAGAACAGCAAGTGACAGAGAGCGTCAATGTCTCTGAACATCCAGGAGGCCATGCGTCCGGAGAGTTGAGTCCAAGGGGCCAGAGATGAGATTAGGTGAAAAGGTGAGGCAGGGTGGAAGCCAGACGTGGGAGGACCCTACTCCCTTTGTCCACACACTCCTGGGCCATTGGCTGGAAGGTCTGCACTTTCTGACTCAAGCTCTCTCCACCCCCAGCTTTGTTCAGCACCCTAGCTTCTTGCTGCCCACTCCCCTCCCCCCGCCCCGCCCCCAGCTGCAGCCAGGTGGGGCTGTGCACTGGTTCCCCAGCTGCACTTCCGGCCAAGGCCACCAGGCATTTGTTCTCACAATGCCCTCCTCCTGCAATGCCACCCCCTCCCCCGCCTCCATCTTTGTAGAATTTTCATCCTTTGAAAACTGACTCAAAAGTGACCTCCACTGCTGAAGGTTTCTCTCCTGTCTGGGTCATGTTCCTTGCCCCGCCCACCTGGCACAGCTCATAGAAATGACAGGGTTAGTAATCATAGCCCCTGTTTATATTATGTGCTCACTGTGACCCAGACATTGCTCAGAGTAATTTTCACAGAATCCTATGTGAAATACCCGCAGCACTGGGAGGACAGGAAGGGGTGGAGTGTGTGGGAGGGCGCGGTACCAGAACCATCCCTGTGTTCCAGATGCGGGAACTGACACCACAGAGCTTGAGTGTCCTGTCCTGGTCCCCCAGGAGAGTGGTGTGGTTAAGAGAACCAGCTCTGCAATCAGACGGGTCTGGATAGCCACATCCCAGCTTTTGTTTGGTTCCCAACCACACTGGTTCTTCCTGTCACTCCCAGGGATGGAGGGGGCAGGAAGTACTGTTTTGGAGGAGTGTGATGGCAGGATAAGGAACAAGGTTGGAGATGGGAGCCCTCTTTGGCAGAGCCTGAGAATGAAGAGGACATAACTGGGGGGCTCCATCCCCACCTCCACGGGCTGGACTCCCCACCAGTTCCACCCACTGTGGGCTCAAGGGAGACTCTTCAAGCCCACTTGGTACAGGACACCCCCCCAAAAAAGGAGCCTGGAGAGGGTCTGGCCTCCAGTGTTGAGGAGCTCATCACCCACACTCAGCCAGGGCTCCAGCATCTGTGTCTCCGGCATCTTCCAGCAAGTCACAGGACAGGAAGATCACAGAGGCTTTTCCTCTAGTGAAAGAGGCTCCCATTGCCTCCCTAGCGAACACCTAGGGGTACTGGAAAGATAGGTCCTCCTATTAAAACAGCAGCTGGGGCTCGGGGTAGGGTGGATGCTGTTTTTCCCAAACAAGTTCCTTGGAGACAAGGCATCACGTTATTCCAGGACGTATGATATGGGTGATAATCTTAGGCAGGGCATTAAATAACATTGAACCACACACTAAGAAATTCCTACCTTTTTTCAATTCTTGAAATCCTTTATTATCCGTCAAGGAGAGAGGCTCAGTCTGTCCCAAATGATTTCCTTTTTTTTTTTTTTTTAACTGGAGGCACTGAGGAGCGAACCCAGGACCTCGCGCATGCGCTCTACCGCGGAGCTCTACTCCGCCCCACTCTTGAACAATTTTCTAATCCCCATCACCCTTTTTAGAGCTCAGATGAAAGGCCAAGAGCCTTTAGAAGGCAACAGGATCTCGTTAGGATTTTCTTCCCTATGTTTTATTGTGAAAAAATTTTAAACGTTTAGAAAAATGAAAAGAATTTTTCAAAGAATACACACATCCCAGCACCTAGATTTCACTATTAACAACTTGCTTTATCACACGTCCATTTCTCTGTCTACCTATCCATCATCTTATTTTTTAATGCATTTCAAAGGAAGTTGAAGATTATAGAGGATCTATGTACAGCACAGGATTATAGTTAATACTCAGTTATATACTTGGAAGTTACTAAGAAAGTAGATCTTAAATGTTCTCAACACAAAAAGGAAAAGGTAATTATGTGATGTGATGGAGGTGTTGGCTAATGCTAAGGGTGGTTATCCTTTCACAATATATAAGTGTATCAAGTCGACGTGTTGTACATCTTAAACTTACAATGTTATATGTCAATTATATCTCAGTAAAGCTGGAAAAAATTTAAATAAAACAAAGAAAGTTGAAGATATCAGTTCATTCCCCCTCTAAAATACCACAAGCATATCATTAACTAGAGTTCAGTATTTGTCTATGACCGTTTTTGTAGCTTTTTAAAGGTAAAATTTGCATAGACTGAAATGCACAGATCTTAAGTGTACACTCACTGAGGCAGAGTAACCCAGCTCTCTACAGGTTCGTAACATCACCGACGAAGTTCCCTTCCCACCAGTCAGTCTCCATCCCACTCTTCTAAAGGCAACCACTATTCGTTTTTTTGTGTGTGTGTTTTTTTTCTCACCATAGATCAGTTTTCTAGCTGGAATTTTAAAGCACTGGCAGTTTTGCTTTCATCAAGTTTACTTTTACCTAACATATTCATGGCAGGTGATAGTGGTTTTCCATATGCTCTGAAGATACGTTTATATTTTTAAAAACTGGGTCAGTACGTCCCCAGATGCCTGGGAATGAGCTACTTGACGTCTGTTGTCAGGCTTAATTATTAACAGCACACCCCAGACGCTCTCAACAGTGTCTCAGTTTGGACCATCAATTGTTGGTCACCTTATCTGTAATGGGAGGGGCTCTGAAGGTAAGCTTGGTGCAGGGAGGGGTCTTTCTGTTCCCTAGAGTATCCCAAGCACTTCGTACAGGGCTTGGTCTGTAATAGGTGCTCAAGAAATATTAGCTGAATGTATATACACACACACATATATATATATATATAGTAAAAAGCCAATTTAAAGGAAAACTTATGCGGACTTGGCCCAAAATGGGAAGAATTTACCCAAAACACTGCATGAATGTAACACACTAGAGCTCCATTGTCCAATATGGTGGCCATTGGCCACTGTGGCTACTGAGCCCTTAAACATGGCTGCTCCAAATTGAGATGCGTCATAAGTGAAATCTACACTGGATTCCCAAGACTCAGAATAATAAGACTTTTGTAAAAGCTGTGTCAAATCTATTATCGATAACTTACATTGATCACATTTTGAAATGGTAATATTTTGGATATATTGTGTTCATTTGAATATATTTTTAATTCGCTTCACCTGTTTTTTTAATTTTTTGTTTCTTTTTAAACTTTTTTTGTTTTTGTTTTCTTTTTCTTGCTATCCTTTTTTTGTTTAATGGAGGTATTGGGGGTTGAACCTAGGACCCCTTGTATGCTAAGCATGCACTCTACCACTAAGCTATTACCTTACCCACTTTTTGCTTTTTTTTTTTAATTTTTAAAAAGTTCCAGGTGCATTTGTTTGTTTGTTTTTTCAAGGGGAGGTAATTAGGTTTGCTTATTTATTTTTTCATGGAGATACTGGAGAGTGAAACTAGGACCTTGTGCATGCTAAGCACATGCTCTACCACTGAGCTATACTCTCCCCGTCTTTTTGCTTTTTTAAAAGATGTGACTCCTACATAAAATTAAATATGCAATTCACATCATGTTTCTATCAAATGGAGGGATGGTAAAAAGTTCATCGTGATTCATATGTGTAACTAGGCACAGGAAGAGCTTCTCATTTTCTCTAGTACTTGCTTCCAGAAAGACTGAGTGGGAGTTTTGTTTTGTAACTTTGAAAATAAAAATGAGATCCATGGACTAATAAGTGAAGGAAATTGAAATCAGTTGTCGGAGGTGGTGGGGAGAACCGGCGTTGTTCTCAAAGAGACCTGGGGGTGTTCTCCCTCCACCCTGGGAATGTATTTATATGGACTTTGAAAACTGTCCACTTTCTAAAACACACGGAAGGACAAAACAGAACAAAATGTTCTGAGGTTGCTTTTATTCCAAGAATTCTGCGGGCTCCGCCCAGACAACTGTTGGCACCGACTCGCCCACAGCACCCACACGCCACAGCACCATGAGGGCACTCAGCACTTAGGGGAGCCCTGGTCCCCTAGCCAGTCAATGTGACTGAATCCGCCATCGAGGGCCGGCCTGGCTACCCCTGGGTGGTCCCTTTGCATCCCCTACTCCTCAGGTGGGCAAAGAATCAGGCCTCCACGCCCCTCAATCCCCCAGTTTCAGGGCCCTGTGCTCCGTAGCCCTGCAGCTCTGTCCTTCCCAGGGGTACTTCCTGCAGTCCCCCAACTCGGAAAGGGGGCCTCTCCAGTCTCGGGCATCTTCTCTGTCCACGAGGCTCCAGATGGCCCCAGCCGGGGGCGCCTGCCTGGGCAGGAGTGACTAGAGTCAGAGTCACAGTCCTCTAGGAACCTGGGACCAGGCCCCAGGGAGGAGGCTAGGAGGCTGCTTCAGCCACTGTGGGCTGGATCAGCATGGTGGTGGCCTGCAGCGGATAGTAGCGGCCTCGCCAGGTCTTCCAGAAGATTCCCTTCTTACGCTGCTGCCGCTGCCGTGGGATGGAGTGGAAGTACTGGCCGTTAAGGTTGGAGTGGCTGCAGGTGCCGAACCACCAGCCACCTGCCGGGGTCAGAAGAAAAGGAACAGTCAGGCCTGGGTCCTCAGGCCTCCACTGGGGCTGGGATGGGGATGAGGCCGGGTGCTGGACTTCATGCGCTTGAGATGGGAGGATTTTGGCAGTGGTTGTCAAACTGTGTTCTGAGGAACCTCGTGTGACAAAGAAAACTTAGGGGCTGTGAGCATCCCCCCTTCCTGGTAACCACAGCTTTTACATGAGTGGCCCTGGCAAGTGACTTCTCTGCACTCGGCACATGGCAAACGTTCATTAAAACCTTCCTAGGATTGTCATCTGTTTCACAACCATGTGAAATTAACCAGTATCCCATCCTTCTCTGACCCCTAGAAAGGCAGTTTCATATGCCTCCAATTTCATCCGAACAAGATGGGCTTTGTCTTAGCGGCTCTGCCACAGGCTGGCCACCAGCCCACAAATGTCGTCTCATTGAATTTCATAACAATCCCATGGAGTAGGCACTCCGGTTACACCCATTTTAAAGATGGAGGAACTGAGGAGGGGAGACATGAAGTCAGTTACCCAAGGACACAGAGCAAGTAAGACAGCAAGGAGGGAGCAGATGGAATTGGGCTTGAAGGCAGGGCAAGGATACAGACGGGAAGGGAGGGGATGCCTTGGCCGTGTGGCAAAGGGCAGGCTAGGGAAGGACAGAGCCTGCTCACCAGAGAGGCTCTTTGCGCAGTTCTTGTCATGGCGGAGGTCGTGGTCCTGGTCCCAAGTAGAGAAGGGCAGGGAGAGGCCGCTGGGCGTGATGGTGGTGGCCCCCAATTTGCTGGCAACAGGCTCTGTGAGCTGCAGGCTGTAGGCTGTGTCCTCACCACCCAGGTGGACAGGGAACTGCAGTGACTGAGCATTGCCTTCCCAGTCCTGCAGCTGCACAGACAGGCGGCTGCCCCGGTCCCCCATGATGCGGTGCACCTTCTCCAGGCCCAGCCAGAATTCACCTGCAGCAGGAGGGGCCAATGCGTGAGACGGGCCCACCTCCAGGGCTCCTCCTCCCCCTGTGCATCTGGCCTGCTGGAAACACCCACCTTGGGGGTCTCCAAAGCCATCCTTGTAGGCTGCCCAGGGCTGGTTAAAGTCCACAGAGCCATCCTGGCGCCTCTGAATTACGGTCCAACCTCCATCTGCCCAGAAAGATGCAAAGTCACCCCGAGAATTCTTCTTACCAGGGACCCCAACTCCCCTATCTGGATCCCAAACTCCAAACTGCCTCCAAACCAAGAGAGGGCAATGTCCTTCTCATCGGTCCCGGCAGGATTGGAGGAGGGTGGTCAGAGGAAGAAACTGTGGGCTGGACAGCAGTCAGGGACCTGCCTAGATCTTTGTCTCAAAGACCCAGCAGGGGAGGAGGGAGGGAGAGAGGGAGGGGGTGGGGTGCATCTGACAGAAAGACAATGGGGTCCAGGATATTTGAAACCCTTAGGGGGCCAGCACATCCCTACCTGAGGTCATATTGCAGTTAACCAGGAATGGTGGAGACCCCTGGGGCTGGATCTGGAACAGTCCACTTTGCCTCTCTCCCTCTTCGAACAGCTCCTGACAGTCCCTGGGCAGTCCTGTGAGGTAGACAAAGGCAGGGGGATTGAAGCAGAGAGCAGAGAGGGTCTTAGGAAATGGGCGTGTCTGGAGGCTGGACAGTGGGTAACAGGGACAGAAGGGGGCAATCCTGAGCTCATGAGCCCCCCACCACTTGCCTAAAGTCTTCCATGGCTCTCCACAGCCTTCCTCAACATGGTCTACAAGGCACCCCAGGAGCAGCCATCGCACGCATCCTCCCTCCCCCCTGTACTGCAGGCCCACCTTCTGGCCACATACCCTCCTGCCACAGGGACTTTGCACATGCTAGCATTCTGTCTGGGACCCTCTTCCTTTCTTCCTTTCTCTGCCTCTCACTAAAGTTTCCAGCTTATGGAAGGGATGATGTCCCTGACCCCCAGACCTGGCTAGGGGCACTGAGATCTTCCCACTCTCCAAAAGTAGGGTCATCTGGTGGTCTCTCTCCAACTCCCCACACTGAATGAAGTCCATGAGGTCTAAGAACATGGAGTGGCTCTTCGCCTACCATCTGGTAGTCATGCCCAGGCTGATCCTAGCCCACAGCAGGTATTTAATAAAGATGAATGAGTGACTGAAGGAGCTGGACCAGAAGGGGCAGGCGGACAGAGCTAAGCTCTGCTTTGTTCAGGGGTGATGTGGATCAGGCCTGGATGGAGCTGGGGGTACCCCAGAGACCCTGCCTGGGGTCGCAGGTATCAGAAGGAGAGGAGGAAGGTTGGAGGGGTGAAGGAGGGAGGGAGGGAATAGAGAAAGAGGGACAGATACATCTGGAGACGCAGGAAGTCTCAGCCCACTCGCTAGCCGCTAGCGGGGAAAGTAGGGAAAAGGTTGCCAGAGGGAGGGGAAGCCTCCAGTCACGGGGTGAGTGTATCCTCGCTGTGGGGGTGGGGAGACATTTTCCGGCCCGGGGCAGCTCCCCTTTCCCCTACTTTCCTCTCTTCCAATCACAGCAGGCAGCCTGCCAAACCACCAGTGTGGCTTCTATTAGCACCAGCTGTTTGTCTCCTCCGCTCTGAACTTTTCCCTATTTGGCAGGGCTGAGCCTGGAGTCCCCAAACCTCCACGGGGCCATCCCCTCCCCCACCACATTCCCCAGCCTGGCCTAGGCCCGCTGGCCCCGTCCAGAAGCCCCCCCCTCCATCCCAGAACTCTGGTGTGGGAGGGTGTAAAGGACCCCTACCTGGGTGGGAGGTGAGGGAGAAGGGTGGCAGGGGGAGGTTGAGGAGCCCTCAAGACAAGAGGGCCAGAAGCCAGCAACCAGCCTGAAGGTGTGAAGAGGGGGTCTGAACTTTCACCTGTGGTAGTCTGCAGACCACCACAGATGCCAGGCCGGGGAATGGGGTAGGAGGACCATATGCAAGCCAGCCAGGTCTGGAGCAGTGAACTTGGTGTGGGACAGAGCCATTGGAAGCTGGGAGCCTGTGTCAGAAACACACAGACATGCTAGGTTGGAGATCTGGGGTGCTATACACAGTAAAGGGGGGGAGGGAAGGGGTGAGCCTGGACTTTGGGGCCAAAAGAAAGGTGAGGGACCAGGTGTGTGTGTCAGGAGCCCTGGATTTGTAAGAGAGCTGTATCTGGCCAGGGAGATGGGGGTTCCCTGCCCTACCCGCCCCCAAGATCCACACTCTAAGATCATGGAGGGCCCAAACATCAGAACCTCCCTTCTCATCAGAGAGCTATTCTCCCTTCACTCAATTTCCAGCTTCACTAGCTGGGACACTCTTGTCCACCATCCTACTTTCCTGGAAGGTTCCAACCTCCAGAAGGATGTCCCTGAAATGTACTACCCCCTTCTCCACACCCCCAGAGCAGCTTAAGTCCCTCTTGGACATTCTTTCCCACCCTCTGCTCCAGTTAGTGGCCAGCAAAGCTTTGGGGAAAGCCCACTGGCTTGCTGGGAAGACAAGTGAAGTGGCCCAGCAGGGGAGGGTCAGGGCCTAAGAGGGAGGTGCCACAGTCATCCCTTCACCAGAGACCCGTGAGACCACAGGGACCCAGGGCCAGGGCCTCTCTGCTTCTCAGTAAGGTGGATCTGACAAGGAAGAGGGAAAGAATGCTTAGTGTGTGTGTTGGGTTTATTTGGGGGTGAGGGGGTGGGATTGTCAGAGAACAGCAAAGGGCTGGATACTCACTGTGCAGGTGGCTGATATTACGAGCTGGTCCAACAAGCTGGGCCATCTTGGGTAGCCTCTTCCTCCTGGAAGGCTTGGCCACCCCGTGGCCCAGGTGCCTAGGGGCCAGGTGGCCCACCTGAGACAGGACGGGAGGAGAGTGTCAGGTCTGGCTGGTTCAAGCTGCTCGACCTGCCTGGCTCCGCGTCTGGACCCACAGGTCCAACTTCAACTTCCCTCCCGACTTGGGGCAATCATTGGGCACCTGGCTCTGCAAATTCTGAATTTTCAGGTGTTGCTTCTCAAGGTGCCGCTGCTGCTGGGCCACCTTCTGGAAGAGTTGCTGGATTCTGCTGTTCTGAGTCTTGAGCTGAGTCTGAGGAGAGTGTGAAAACCCTGGTGAAAATCCAGCCTTTTGCGACCAAGTTCTCCATCCCGTCTGTCTTTACAACTCTACATCCTTTGAGCGAGACAGGAGAGCCCAGGAAGCCCGGGATGAGCCCCCCAATCCCGCCCCAACCATTTCCACTCCCTTCCGGAGCAGTAGGAGCGTAAGTACCTGCAAGCTGCGGAGGGTCTCGGGGCCGACGTCGCCGCCGGGAGGGACCAGACTCGCCCGGACGAGCGGAGGCGCGGGGGCCCCCTCGGGCTCCTTGCAGGAGGCCCCGCACGCGCTCAGACGCCGC